TCCGATCACAAAAAATAAAACTCTAGTAATTCCATCAACACAATTGCATATTGATTCTCGGTTTCAAAAATACTACAATGCGACTGCTGGAATTTTCACAAACAGACAAACTTCCCAATTAAAAGGTGCGGCTTCTCACCTACGACTAATCAAATCAGAGAAACCAGATATAGTTCTTCTGCAAACCCGAATAAAGAAAACTAACCAGATTCCGCAGCAGTATCCGCGACTAAAGATTTCCACTCCAATTCTTTTGAATTAGATTGACAACCAATGAAAAATTTCAGAATAGCAGCGCGATGATCCGAACGCTAACAAACATTGTAAGTTGTAATTTGCAACTTCAAATCAATCAACACGACAACCGCGACAGTCACCACGATCCCTCGCCGATTGCCCAGCCAACCGACCATGCTCTGATACCACTTGTCAGAACGGAAGCGTGCTTAATACAAATTTAACGTGGTTCACTAACACAATGTGTGCTAGCTATCCACAGGTAGGGAGAACAAATTTCACTAATTTGAGGAGAGTTCATGTTACAAACCAAATTCCAGAACGGACAAACCAAACAAACTAACCTGACTGACCTTACTATAGATTAGGGTGGTGAAGAGTATTTATAGAACTCTTCTTCTAATCTCAAACAAAAAACCAAACACATTTTCCCAAACATACAAGGAAAAGGTCAAAACAAAGCACAAACACAAATCCAAACAAAATAAGCCCAAAACACAAAACAAAGCTCAAATCATATTCAAGTCATATTCTATCACCCACCCAATCCAAAGGACACACACGCTTCTGGGGATTAATTACACGATGCCCATTATCAATTCAAGGGTCGGTGCACCACGACAGAGGGTGGGCATCGACCCTCGAATTGATAATGGGCATTGTGTAACATCAATATTGGCGAAGGCGGGTTTGATGGTTGTCGACAGTGCAAGAAGGTCCTCCAATTTAGTAGCAACGCCAACGACGCGTTGTTTCTTCCTCTTCTTGAACTTCCCACCATTAATTTGGACAGTCGTCCCTCTACACCTAACTAAATTTGCTATCTTGATGATTGATGAAACTCGTTCCTACACTGGATTAATTCTTACGACATAATTTATAGGAACGACATGTTGTAGACTTTGGGCGCTGGTCGACTTTCGCGACGGAAGAATTGGAACTAGGTTTAGCTTATTGTACGTTTCCTCGACAGTTGGAGGCGTCTCTCCATGTGGCGACGACAAACTTGGTACGGATGGAATGACCATGATGGTTGAGGTAGGCGTCAGCGATGGTGATGGTGAAACAATAGCAAGCGACAACTTCAGAGCTAGCTTTTAAGAGGAACCAATCATCTTCATCTTCATCTTCGCCAGTATAGCCGCCATTGCTTGGTTGTACTCCTCTTGAATTTCCTCCCAGCATGCCCAAAATTCCTCCAATAAATTTTCCTTGAAGTCGTTCGGGCTTGCGATTATGCTTGCGGCAGCTGGTTGTGGGATATTCGCCATTGATGGCTGGTCTAGCGGACAGTGTGGCCGGTGTGAGCAGAGATGGGATTTCGCCATTAATTCCACCATGCAGACGAAAAATGAAATGTGCGAATTGGACAAGTGCGTAAATGGGGAAAAATCCAAATCTATCACTGTTTATAAAAGATTTACAAATATATCACCTAAATCGAAAACATTTCAAATCTACCACCATTATTTGAAAACTGTATGGGGAAGCAGCGGTTCAAAGGAGAACTGCGCGGGAAAGGGGAGGTTTCCCTTAGGGCAGCCAAATAATCGCTCCCCCACGTGGCTTTTCTGCAAATCGCCAGATAAGGACGCGATCTAGCGGCAAACCGTACGACAGGTGCACGATCCGTGTTTGGTCGTGGTAACCGCTACTCGAAGGCGCAGTTTGCACGTTGAAAAATGGAAACCGTTGGCCGGGGTGTGGTTCCCTTTGTTGTAAAATTACAAAACTGCCCCCTAGTCAGGCGGTTCAAACACTATATAAATTCCCCCCTCCTCCTCATTTCTTCACACCAAAATTCATTCTTCTCTCTCTAAGTTTATCTCTCTATCTATCCCCCTCTCCACCCAAAAACCTAGGAAATAATGGTATGTTGGTTGCGGCTAAGTCCGAACTGCTATCAAAAGACATTTCTTTGGGTTTTCCTTCAAAACCAGTCGAATTCATGTCCGGTTCCTGAAAAAATGACCTATATTTTCGAAGAAGAGGGTATTTATTATGATAACTATCAAGCGGCACGTACTCATTTTACCTAAATTCTGTTGTTGTTATAATAATTTTATTTAATCTATATACTAATGAATTTATGTTGTTGTTATGTTATCGTAGAGGTTGGGGAGAACGCTAATATTTAGTTATTTACAATCAAAGATATTATGTTGATCAAGTACCGATTGATCCATCCGTGTTGTACGACCAAGATAATCATCGTTCAAGAGATGTTTGGAACGATCACAATGTATATATAATTTATCATCACTTGTCATTTCTTTTTTGTTAACGTAAGTTAGAGGTTTGTAAAATAAATTTGTTAATTGTTAATCATTTTATTATTTTCAGTGATTTAAAATAATACAATGTGCCACTTATTTAAACTCTTTATAAAGAGATGCATGTCTAAGGAAATGGGGTCTTAAGCGATCATCGTGATCCTCTCATTTCCTGGGAAAATCGGGTTCTAAGCGATACTCGGATCCCTCCTTTTCTGTAAAAAAGGTTGTGTTTCTAGAAAGATGTATACCTCTCCTTTTTCCTCTGCATGTTCTCCTTCTCTGCCCGATTCGCAAGATGACGCAACTGATTGGATTTTGAGTTTCACTTCGAGTTCTGGGAAAAGAGGTGATTCCGGGGCGAGGTGCTCTGTGTCAGAACTCTGGGTTCCTTTCCTTGTTCGTGATTGAAGCGTACCGGCGAGTACTCGACGAAGGAAGAAGAGGAGCCCTATCGATTCCGACATCCACCGATTTCCAGTTAGGGTTTCGCTTTTGGGATTTTCCAGAATCGAAGTTCATAACTGCCAGATTCGCCCGTAGTTCTCTTGATATCAATCCCATAAAACTAATTGATTATCGTCCTCCCAATTGTTGAGCGGGAAGTTGAAGTTCGTTTGGCTACTTGACGATTGGGATACCGAGGAGTTTGCGCCACAAGTCGAGCCAGCAAAGTTCAAAATTTGTGAAGGAGACCAAAGCAATTAGCAATGGGTCGTCCTCACTGTTGCTGGAAAGGACATCTTCTTCTGATCAAAATCGAGGGAGGGATTCGTCGGAGTTTGGCTACATTGTCTGGTGGGCGACGGGCTGGGTTTAGCCGATTTTTTATACTTTATACTTTTCTAATTTCATTTTGAAAAATAATATATGAAAAATTAAAATTAAAGAATACTAATATTGCCACAGCTTAACAACCAAATTGCCACGTCAAAGTCAACTAACGGTAAATCGGATGGAAAGTTAACGGAATAGTTACTATTTGGCAAAATACAGCTGTATATCCACAACTATAAGGTTTGTGACAAATATATCCATAACTATCGAAATACACGAAATATCCATTTCTGTCCGCTCCGTTAACTCCGTCAGTTAACTTGATGACTGGACAGACGGTGGATGCTTAGTTGGCGTGTTTCTGACCCCACTAAATGACGTGGATTAAAAGAGAAAAAAAAATAGGCAAAATACAGTTGTATATCCACAACTATCAGGTTTGTGACAAATATATCCACAAATATTGAAATACACGAAATATCCAAATATCGGAAGGTTGTGTGACAAATCTATCCACTTTCGTCTGAAACTATAACAACGTGTCAGACGGCGTTAAATTGACTAACGGAATGCTGAATCGATGCCATCTCACCTGCCACATAAGTCGAATAGCAATCAAACTTTACATCGTTATCTGTTAGACCTCGCTGCTGCAGTCTTCTCTGTTGGCGATTTGGTTAGATTCAAGCTTTTTTTGTTTGAGATTCAAGCTTGGTATCACCATGGCGCCAACTGCATGGAAGCCGTCGTAGTAAAAGGGAGGCAATGGTTGGGGATTGTGGTAGGGTTATTTGGGGGTGGAAGCATCGATCAGAGGAGGATTAGTGGTTATCGGGCGTGTTTCTGGGTTGGATTTTTAGTCTCGCCGTCTGTGGTTTTTAGGGTTTTTGTTTAAAAATTTCTCTTTTAGTCTACGTCATTCAGTGGGGTCAGAAACACGCCAATCAAGCATTCACCGTCTGTCCAGTCATCAAGTTAACTGACAGAGTTAACGGAGTGGACGAAAATGGATATTTCGTGTATTTCGATAGTTGTGGATATATTTGTCACAAACCTAATAGTTGTAGATATATTTGTCACAAACATGATAGTTGTGGATATACAGTTGTATTCTGCCTTTATTCAACTAGCTTATTTGGCATCTACGTGTAAAGTTTGGTTGCTTTTTGGCTTATGTGGCAGGTGAGATGGCATCGATTCAACATTCCGTTAGTCAATTTAACGCCGTTTAACATGTCGTTATTGTTTCAGATGGAAGTGGATAGATTTGTCACACAACCTTCCGATATTTGGATATTTCGTGTATTTCGATAGTTGTTGATATATTTATCACAAACCTGATAGTTGTGGATATACAACTATATTTTGCCTTACTATTTTGTTTTTTGAAAGATTTAGCTATTGTTTTGTTTAAAATTAAAGGTTTGACTACTAAATTGTATTTATCCGACTTGTTTGGCTTTAATCCTTTTTTCAGAAAGTTTTGAAAATGTCATGATATGTTCTCACTTTAGTGGGATCATCTTGGTGCCATGCCATGTATCGCTTAGCAAATCCTATCGTCTATATTGTAACACAAGAACATTTGCTTATATGTTGGGCTGAGCGAATCAACAACTTTTAGTTTTTTCATCGCCATTAAGGATGGAGTTGCTGGTGTTCTCATTACACCTCTTTTGCTTCAACAACTTCTTCTCCTTTCAAAGTTGAAGACCAATAACCTAATCATGAATCCATAGCATTTATCATCGTTTTAAAACTTCAACTTCTTTGTGTACAAATAGCAGTCAACTATCAATCAACTTATGTCAGGAAGTTCAGAGCTTTCACATGTAAGCTTCGAAGTACAACATTCTAACAAAAGCTTGTCAATTTCATGGTCAACCCTTCCATATCTTCTCAAGTGAACAAGCCACACAAACATAGTCAACGAGTTCCTCTATCTAACAACAATGAGGGCAGTACCAGAAATATGGGTAAACCACATCTCTCATATGTACACTGTTATCAGCCAGCTATCATTGATCACCTGAAATACACGGGATCAGCTGCTGCACTTCTCAGAGTATCAAACTTGACCAGAGCCACCCTGTAAATGGTTGTTTTCTCATCAGCACCACTAGCCGTGATGAACGATGGACCATAAACTAACACAAATGGTCACTGGAAAACTGCTATGCCAGAAACCAATGATTTAACTTAGCAGCAGTGAAGGTCTAACCTGAAGATGGTAATGCAGAGGAAGACCAAGTAGATACCTAACTTGATCACCCTATGCTGTTTCTCGCGAGCAAGACTCCGGAACACTTCAGTGACATCAATGAGATGCTTCCCTTTCAAGTAGCTACATCCATAAAATTCAAGAGAAGAACAATTAGACCACACAGCAGAAACTAGTACCAAATATTGACTACCAAGAACAGATCGGATGACTCTTCTCTATGGATGGCTTAAGAGTTTCAGTCCCTACTCCCTAGATACCGATTCATAAACCCGAAAGCAACAGAGTATAGACAACAACCAGAAACCCAATGTAGATAGCTAGATAGGTACTTACAGCGTCAAATGAAAGCAGGCAATGGGGAGTGAAATGAGAACCATGACCCAGTGACCCGTGACGAGGAAGAGAGAGCACAAGATCCATTGCAGGATGAACTCAGGCAACACGAACTTATTGACTCGAGCTGTTGCTTCAAATGGGTCAAGTTGGTCTGCTTCCATGTCTGTCAAGGCCAACAGCTACAAAAAGTTTCACCCTAGATTTCAGACGGAGACAAGCAATGAACTTTAGGATTCAAATTCGATTGGGAGAGCTAGAAACTCAACTCAGTATCATTGTTCAAACTAGCTAGCCTAAATTCCAGCAAGTGTTTTACAAACTCAGAAATCTCAGTTATCCTTCATTTTTGTTCTGAACTTTTTCTCCGGCGACCATCGCAGCAGTGTAATTAGAAAAGGGAAAGGAAAACCACAAGTGGAAGTTGAGGAACGGGAAAGCAGGAACAGAGGGAGTACCGCGTGGAAGACGATAGCAAGGAGGCCTAAGTTGAGGACGCAAAAGAGCATCCAGAGAAGCAAATAGGACGCCATGCTTTTTCTTTCTTGCTTTGCCACCACTGCTGCCAGAACCCAGAAAGAGAGATGGCGAGCCAGCCAGCAAGTGAAACAGAGTGAGAATGCTGGTTAATTACGTAACGATCACATACTTACGGGTTACTAACAAAACAGTCACTTAAATTTGTTTTATAACAAAATTCATAATAATTCTCCACGTTGTCTTAGGATCTTTTCACCAGATGAGTGCACCACAGTGAATTTGGTAAGAGTTTGCTATCTTCGTAGGGACTGAAAGACGCAGAAGTTATAGGAATGAGTTGAACCATTGTTTTCCATTTTACTGTTTTCATAAACCAACTCTTATCTGCAACAGCTGGTACTCGAGTCACATTAGTAAATCTAACTCTGCTTTTACTTGATCATGATCATTGGCACAGGCACTAGCTTCTGCACTCCCAACTACAAGCAAACCAAGCCCTTTGGTAGCCGATTACAGCCTGTCCCAGAGAAACACTTCCATACAAGATATAGTCTCATCAGATCATAAGATCAGAACGGGAATACAATGATGATAGCTGGTTGAAGGTATTAGGACAGACGACAAATATAAACAACACAAATGCTTGGGAATGATAGAACAGGGGAGAAAAGAACTCCACTTCAACTTCTTTCAAGGAGTATACAAGAAAACCAGAATAAGAGTACAGATCTTCCAAATAATTTAAGATACTTCTTTATTCATTGCTGCACAATGGTTGCACTAAGATACCCCTTAAATGCGTGTAATCAAATAGACAAGGTATTTACAATCATATGACCTGCAAATACATCGATGCAGATGAGTCCACAGCCATAATTAAATCTCCAATGTACACTACCGACACATTGGTGAAATCAGAATTAAGATCCAGAGTACAAACATGCCATATGTTGGAAGGATTCTTGTTTCAGTAGTCCACTCATTTCCAATCAAGCATGTCCAATAGCCACAATACCTCATCCTTAGAGTTGGCAACATCATTGAAATCCATCTGAATGCCAAAAACATCAATTTCACACTCATCTCCACCTTCCATGAAAAGCAGCGAGATCCATCCCCGGATGTTTGGCAAGAAACGATACATGGGGGAAATGTCAATGACGTCGAATGCCATTGCTCTATAAGAAGACCGATCAATATAATCAAACATAGCTTTGTGAATGATGCGGGCAAGCTTGTTGGTGTCCTTGCGCCCCACGAGCACTGAAACACTAACAGGCTGACTCAATGGCAGTTTGAAGGTCGGCTCAACCGCCAGCATCATCTTGTACTCTGTAGCCTGCAGGTGATATCCAAGGACGCTGGAGATTCTATGGGGAGGGAGTTTGATTCCAGCATCGAAAACAGGACCATGCACTACGTCTGAATAAATCAACTTGTCTCCAGCCCATATGTCGATATAAAATTCCAAAGTATCAAAGCAAAGTCTCGGCGGATGCAAGATCTGATGATTCTGCCTTTTGTAGAAGCTCTGATAGAGCTTGTAGTAGGACATAGTTGAAAGGTTAGGTCTTTTGCAAATCGATGGCCATCTCTTTGCACACTGGCATTTCCAGAAATAATCATCTTTGGCCATATCTCTCCATTGTTTGCTTACGGCCATACAAGAAGCAAGGTCTACGCCATCCAGTAGAGCGAAAACAGTTTTCAGAATTTCATCATTTGGCATTGTCTGTCAGCTACAATGTTGAATTGAGAAGAAATATCTGCATGTCAACCACCATTCTATCAACTTATTGCAAAACTAAGAATTAGGAGAAGAGACACACAGCAAAACATGCTTGATAGAATATAAGCTCCAAAACTGGGAGGGAGAATTAGTTTTAAGAAACAAAAACACATAGCCTGCTCAGTTCAGTAGTTCAAACTATAAATGGAGAAGCCAAGGCTTTCAGAATTCAACCATACTCGGAGTTGAGATATCCATCATGGAATCCACACTAACAAATCAATTCAACTTTGAGCAGGAAGAAAAGCAACATATATTTCTCATCATTAAGCAATAACAACATAGCCACCAAATCAATCCCAATCATCAGCAGCAAACCATTCATCCCTTTTTTCCTCAGTATCATAAAGGACCATGCAGAAGCTAGTTTCGATACGAAAACCCAGCAGCAGAACAAGGCCAAACAGGTACAAGATTCAAACTTTGCATTCGTCACTTCTATCTCAACCATTAAATTTCATCTTAACATCTGCAAGGCACCATCTAAAACTCCACGAACTTTCTCTTACCACCACACTAAGAAGCATCAAGGATCTAAAAAGCTCAATACTTAGGGATAGCCACAGACATCAAACGAAACGACGCCACGGTTCCGGAATTTCAAGGACCCTTAAGCAACGAAAACTCATAGCACGATTATTGAATCACAATGAATTGAAGACACACAACCGAAATCCCAATTCACAAATGAACAGCCTAGGGAATTGTCGGGGGAAAATCCATAAAATGAAGAGAGCAATTGGAAATGGAGGAAAAGCATAAAGAGTAAGCCGTGATCTGGCGAGTTGCGGACTCTTGTTCGGAGACTGATAGTGATAACCAGGGGAAAGCGAAGGCAGAAGGAAAGGATTGCTCGAGGAAGGGGACGATTGGGAGTTCTTCTGAAAGAAAGGGTTTACCTGGTTGTTCATCGGCGAAGAACCGCTGAGTTTTGAGAGTTGCTGCAGCGTTGAATTCGCAGAGGTAAAGGGAGATCTTGTTCGCAGTTAAAGATCAGCGGACCTGAAAATGAAAATGGAGAGGTTTGGAATTCAGCGAACACTGATTACATATTTACATTGCGCACAGAGATTAGCGTGATGATAAATAAAAGCTCAATTTGTTTTGTATAATTACAAATCACTACATACAGTTTGAACTATCTTCACTTTTCACGTTCCATCTTTCCAACACTCACTAAAGAGAAGAGAGTATCGCTGTAATTCCGTCGGGAGCACTTCTACTATGCTATATAGCATTGGTGCTTTAATGTACAACTTAAAATTGTACCATAACATTAAATGTATAAGTTTAGGTTGTACCATAAAGCAATTTGTACTATTATGTTATGGTACAACTTTACAACTTGAAGTTGTACCATCACATAAAGGTACAAGTTCAAGTTGTACCATAAAAGAATTTGTACAAAAAATATAGGTACAATCTGAAGTTGTACCATAACGTAAATGTACAATTTTAAGTTGTACCATAAAGACAAAAACCTATAGCACCAATACTATATAGCATTGTAAAATTTCTCTTCCGTCGGTTACTTAAAGATATGGACATATGGTCGTGTATATATAATTTATATAATTGTCATTCACTTGAATCTATTCTTTTCGAGATGCTTCAGCTAATTGTATCAAATGAAGATGTTCTCATGAACTTGACATATCCCTAACACAAAAACTTCTCTCATAATACGAATTGATAACTTTGAGGATTTTCAAGTTACATATCTTTTGTTCATTATCATTCTCTTCACGCCTTCAAGATAAATTGAAGGGCACAATTTTGAGTGATGCACCCTTATTGTAACAGAGAGTCAAAGAGAGATTTCAAGAAGAAATGATCAATAAAGTGAAATGATATATAGGAGGAATCAACATGTCATACTACTCTAGAATCTAAACATGAGTTGTCCACTCCTTCATACCTACCTTCACGGGTCGTTTGCTTGAGGGTTTTGGTGATGGATTTGGTCATGGAAATCTATCCATCATGGACTTTAACGGAAATCCATCGTTTGCCTTAGGGAATTAGGGAGATGGAATTTGTGGGTCCCGCCACTTTTGGGGTTCCAAATCCGTGGACCCCACGGACTTGGAAGTTCCACCTCTTGAGGTGGGATTTGGGTGATGGATTAAAATCCATGATGGTAAATTACCTTTCTACCCTTACTTATTACTTTAATTACAAAGATGTCCTACTTTAATTCAATGGTCATGCAATTATAAACTTTTATAATGTCGTATTTTATATATATGAGAATTTTTCATTTCGTTTTGTAATATCATAGTTTATTTAAATATGAATGTATATGTGATTTGTTAGATTCAACTATAAACATCTTATGCTCGTTTTGTGCATTATTATTTGATTGATTGTCGGATTCCAAAATCGGGGTGTTAGCAAGAAGTTGATGAGTTGTAGCAATAAAGCGAGCAATTGGTTGCAATTGATACATAATATTGCGTACATTATTAGATGAGTTGTTAATTAGTGCCAAACTATAATACATTTCTATATTTGTAGTTGAATTATTAGTCCACATAGTGGTAAAGAGTTTAAAATTTCATTGTATGCGTTGGATTTTTTTAATGAAATTTATGGATTATAATTAGATAAGATAAGGGTAACAAGGTAATTTGAATTTCATATCCCAAATCTATTCAAACAAAATCTATAATCAAATCCAACAAGCAAACAATAGACTTGGTCAAATCCATAATGCCACCAAATCCATCATATATCCATGGTTTTCCAAAACCCAAGTTTTACCAAAACCCTCATTTTTCAAATACATGAAGCAAACGACCCGATGTAAGCTCTTTTTAGCATATCTCCCTTCAATATAAGGTTTCCCAACATTAAAATGAGCCCCTATGATAATAAAAGATCGCCACATTTCTGTCATTCACTCGACTTCTCCTGCTTTATAAGTGTATTAGCTAATGATATGAAGATATGGATGTTCTAGTGATGGCCGGTGAAACTGCCTAACCATGGTGGCAATTTTTAGGACTTTTTATTGCAATTATTTTGGCGATTTCTCCTCTTCATTTATCGTTTTGGTTGACCGTTTCAGCATTTTCTCCCATTCCTTCATATTACAATTCATCACTCATATAATTGACAATCTTATGGGATATTGCCAAGTTAGAAGGAAGTGGAAAACTCATATTATGTCCAAACTCTAAAAGGTAAACTGCAATTTCATCCCTTGTGTATGCTTTCCTATTAAGTTTTCCCAACATTAAATAAACAGTTATCTGAGGATCGGATAACCAAAATATATGTCACCACATTCTCATGATCTCATCAATAATCTAAAATGACAAAACCAAATGAAAAGAAGAGAACTAACCAACTTGGGAATTCTTATTAGCTACTATCACTACCATCAACTTCTTTTCTGTTCGACAACATAATCCAGTAATCCACAACTTCACAAACTACAGCACTTCACTATACCTATCACTAGAAGAAATTAAAGAACAAACCAAAAACCTAGAGAATGAAACGTTTCTCCCAATTCTACCAGCCTTGCCTCATCAGAAGTTGATGTTGCTATCAAAAGTCTGCCCAAACTGCCAATTCGCCGGCACAACATTACGGAACACCCTGTACGCGCCGTCACTCGTCACCACCTGAAAACTCAACGACTGCCCGACCAACTCCACACCCGTCTGCCAGTTCTGTCCCCAATTCCTCTGCATCTGAATCCAACCACCGCCGCTCCTCTTCGACCCCAGCACCCTCACGTTCTTCACGTCGCCGGCGCCGCCGACGTTGTACGGCAGCACCAGGATCCAGTTGGGGTTGCCCTTGATCTCGAACTTCACCCCGCCTTGCTTCGCGCACGTGACCCTGCGGTACTGCACGTGCACGATCCCAGCCTTGTACGGCGCCATCTTCAGGAACATGGGCATCGAGAGGTCGAAGTGCTTCATCGGCGGGTTGCACGCGCCGCCCGCGGGGTTCGGCGGGCAGAAGTTGGTCGCCGTGATTTGGATCGGCGCGGCTCCCGGGTAGCAGAACTTCCACTTCGGGTCGTCGACGCATTTGAGCTCGTAGCACGCGCCGCACGTGAGGCCGTTGTTGAAGAGCGCCGTGCTTAGCGCCGCCGTTCGGAGGCCGTAGCCTTGCTTGAATAGATCGCCGTAACCGCATGCACCTTCTGTTTACGTGTACGTAAAAACATATACCCACATTGGAATTAAAACAATATTAAGAAAAAAATGTTTTGTCTTTTTCCCAATAATTTAACCAACCACAAAAATTATCAATGTACAAAATAATTGAAAAATTCTACACCTCTCATTCTGTCCGTACCATTGATACCGTTACTATAAAAAAAATATTTTGTGATTCCAGCGACACTGTAAGTCCGATTCGTCCGTCACTTTAAAAATTATGCCGAGTTAATGTGCTAATATTAAGTGAAAAAAATAAAGATTGAAAGATTGATATGTGGATAAACTTACGCATTGTGTCCTTGCCGCTTTTGTCGCCGTAGAACGTTGCATGGCCATCCTGCCACGACGACCAATCACTGTTCATCGTCCTGACCAGCTTCCCGTCGGCAACGGAAAGGAGCAATGAACTAATTCCGACCAAAGCCATTACAGAACACAACAAAAGACTAAACAAACTAGCCATTGTTTGTGTTTTGGGGGGCAATGATGACGACTACAGTAATTGGAACTGATAAAACTCGAAGAAGTTTAGATTAGGTTGTTTTGGCTTATGGGTAAAAGTTTCGTTCGAAGGTTTGGTATTTATAGCCCTTTGTCGAGGAAATTAATGATTGGAAATAAAATTATCAAGAAAATATATATTCATGGAAGCTACTGGGTCGACGTTATTTGTGGAAGTATTGTTAATTTTCCTATTTTCGTCCATTTTTTGTTTATGGTATTCATATATCTGATTAATTGGGAAGATTGTAATTATTTGGTCGTATGAAAATGGAAAGGATATATATGCTTAAATGAACTTATTTGTCGTTCTTACCTAATGTAAGGTTTATTTATAATGCTTTAGTAGACGAGTAATTCAATCTCTTGCCTTGCGGGTTTTATTTATTTGTTTTAATTTCTTACCTAATGGTTAACTTTCCTCGTGAAATTTAGCATTTTATTTAATTCGAAAAGGGATAAGGTATCTCCTTTTTTACATATTATTACGGTAAACGTTGGGACATGTCCAAAATGATCATTTAACTTTAACCCTTTATACAAAATGGTCACACAGCTTTTGCTTCCACCAAAACAGTACCATACCTTTAAAATATGTTTACTAAATGATTATTCTCGCCAATTTCCATCCGAAATTTTATCTAGCTAGCAGTGTGATCAGGCTTTCAAATCATCCAAACCATAAATTCGTTTTTTTTACCAAAACTCATCTAAACACTCCATATTTGATTTTAGGTTATAAAATATTGATTATATGGTAATTAGATATTGAAAAGTGATAAGACAATAGGCTATCAACCCATTTTTCTTCCATCCAAAACGCGAGCACGTTCATAGGTTGCTATGGTTTTTTAATTCTACCCTCATCACTCCAAATCTCTCTGTAGCACTGAATTTTAAACCCACCAGTGTCATAGACGACCGGTACCTAATTTAAAACGAGAACCCACGTATGATGGATTTCTTATTGGATTTGGGTTTCCTTTTGTTTGACCCGGATTAGTACCGGGGGTTTTGTGTGGAACCTTGATCCGGACTCCCTCGTCTGATCTCCTCGGGAGTGGAAGAAACCTGTGGAGAGTCGGGGGCGGCCCCCGTGATCTACACTCCGACGCCCAAGTTAGAATAGGGTATATGATAGAGTGTAGAGAGAAATGTAGAGAGAGATAGGGTTTAGAGAGAGAACCATAAGTGGTAAAGTGAGGAAAGGGAGAGAAGTAGTCCCTTTGCTTGGAGGGTCTGGCCTCCTTATATAGGAGTCGGAGGCATCCATTGGACGCCTCCCGGTGGTGGACGCCTTCCGTCGATGGATGCCTCCAGGTGGTGGACGCCTTCCGGTGGGCGCCTCCCGGTGGTGGACGCCTTCCGTCGATGGACGCCTTCCGGTGAATGGACGCCTCCCGGTGGTGGACGCCCCCGGGTAGGCTGGACGCCTCCCGGTGATGGACGCCCCCCGGTGTACTGGACCCTAGAATGGGCTTGGGCCCAAGGTGAGACGCTTTGTGGTGGGCTTGGGCCCGTATTAGGCGGGTTAATACTAGACCCAACATTTGCCCCTTTGCTTCTTGTATTCTGTAAGAATGGAAGGAGTAAATAACGCGTTAAGGTGTATTAACTTGCCTTACTTGTGAGTCCGCACGATGCGGTTTTGCCCCTTGTGCGGCTATGCCCCTTGTGCGGCCATTGCTTGGTGATGGACGCCTCTCAATGGTTGAGACGCCTCTCGATGATGGACGCCTCCGGTGATGGGCGCCCACGAGTGGACTGGACCCTTGCGGGTCCAAACGATGCGGTTTGCCCCTTGTGCGACCATCGTCTTTGCTTCTTTGTTTAGCATTCGATGTCTTGAGTTAAAGCTCTCAAGTCGTTTGAGATTTCCCCACTAGCCCATTGCGAAGCGTGCTAATATGTAGGCCGTAACTGTGAGCTGTATGCGTTAAGCTGTTGGACCGCGAGATGGGCATGAGCTTGTGTGCATGTTAAGCGTGAGTTGTTGGCTGAATAGTAGGTGTTAGCTATGTGCTAGGGAGGGCGGCCCCCACGACTTGAGAGTTTTAACTCAAGGCGGCGTTTGTGTTTTGAAGATGCCACACCTACTGGGAGGCGGGATCGTAGTTCTTGCTATACCGATGTCGCGCCTACTGGGAAGCGGATTCGGGCTTCTACCTCGAGGGGAAGCATCGCTCAGGAAGCGGGATGCGGTTTTATATCTGCGAAAGATGTGAGTGACTAGTGCCCCATATTTTTAGAGCACAAACAGAAGCATAGTATGCGTGAAATATGTCATAGTATAGTGGAAATTATTCTCTTCATGGCATGACATGGTATATGAGATATATGTTGTCCAACATGATTCGTAATGAGCATCTTCATGGCATATGATATAAGAAATATCTTGAAAGGGATAACTTAGCTATAAGAGACGCAGTAGAGAACTAGAAGAAATAATGGCGGTCGCATTTTGATTCACAAAATGTCTTGCAGTGCAGTGGTGTGCGCTCCACCTAGTACGAAGAGGATGCGGGTTCGATCCTCCATGGACGCCTTTCTAATATTATTTTTATGTTGAGTTCTTCATTCGTGGGCTTGCTGGACACTGATGTCATCAGGCGCGGAAGGCGGGCCGCGACTAATGGGCCGCGTTGGAGGCGGTCGTAGACTTTGCTGCGGAGCGGCTGGGCTTGGCGGGCGGTCCACTTCCTCGAAATTGAGGAGGTGGGCCTGTGTTGCATGACAGAAGGCGGGCTGGATGTTCTTGGGCCGTCGGAGGCGGGTCGAGGTTCCCAATGCGACGCGGGTTGGGCCTCCTTTCGGTAGGCGGGCTGGATTGGCATGACGGCGGGTTGGTTCCGGGCCGCCTTGGAGGTGTAGCAGGTCTTGGACTGAGACGAAGTGGGCTTTTCTTGAGGTCTAGGCGGTATGGATGCGGAGGTGGAACTCAAGTGCTGAGGCATTGGAGGTGGGCCGCATTGGAGGCTAGCTGGCGGTTGGAGATGTAATTGGTGTTGTAAACTAATTACACTATGCGTCCTTGTAGCGAACTGGTGAACAGTCTTGTGCGTGGAAATTTGAACGCGGGATCGAATCCCGTGCAGAGCATTGCTAGATTTCTTTTTTGTTGGAATGCAAAGCGGATCATGTCTGAAGCGGGGCCAACTACTCTGAAGCTGGATTTGAGGCAGGCTCACGTTGTGGGCTTTGGTCTGGTGGAGGCTAAGAAGCGCTGGAAGAGGAATTTCTGAAACGGGCCAAGAATGCTGCTGCTGAAGCGGGCCGCTGGCTGGAATTAATTAGAGGATTGTGAAGCGGGCCGCTGGACGACCATTGGTGGCATGGGCCCTGAGGGCTGAAAGGTGGGAGCATGCGGCTGCCAGGCGATTTGGACGCATCGATGGCCTGCTCCTCTAACAGAGAGAGAAAGTGAGATGTCACTGACTTTTGGGGAAGAGTGACTCAGAGATAGTTGTCCCATATGTGCCAGCTTTTTACTGTAGCGGACAGACTTTCTTTTGACAGGAGATGGTGACGTTGACTGCTGTCGGGCTTTTTTTTTTCTTCTTTTTTTTCTTCTTCTTCTTGTTTTACAGATCTGAGGTGGTTAGAAGTGACGCCTACACTAGTGGATAAAGAATCGGCTCTGTAAGGCTTTTTTGAACTTGAGACAGTTCCAGATCTGCCTTTTTGAATCTTTGGATTTTTCTTTGATGGTTGCGGGAGATGGCTTCGGCTGAGCTGTTGAAGATGAGAGGTGATGGCGGAAGAGCTGATTTCTCTCAATCCTCTGATGGGATTTTGCGGTCGGAGCCGTCGGTGGTAATTAGTAGAGAAAAAATTGATTTCTTCTCCTCCTTCAGATACCACACAAGAAGAGTACCAAATCAGGCCCCACGGTGGGCGCCAAAATGTTTGACCCGGATTAGTACCGGGGGTTTTGTGTGGAACCTTGATCCGGACTCCCTCGTCTGATCTCCTCGGGAGTGGAAGAAACCTGTGGAGAGTCGGGGGCGGCCCCCGTGATCTACACTCCGACGCCCAAGTTAGAATAGGGTATATGATAGAGTGTAGAGAGAAATGTAGAGAGAGATAGGGTTTAGAGAGAGAACCATAAGTGGTAAAGTGAGGAAAGGGAGAGAAGTAGTCCCTTTGCTTGGAGGGTCTGGCCTCCTTATATAGGAGTCGGAGGCATCCATTGGACGCCTCCCGGTGGTGGACGCCTTCCGTCGATGGATGCCTCCAGGTGGTGGACGCCTTCCGGTGGGCGCCTCCCGGTGGTGGACGCCTTCCGTCGATGGACGCCTTCCGGTGAATGGACGCCTCCCGGTGGTGGACGCCCCCGGGTAGGCTGGACGCCTCCCGGTGATGGACGCCCCCCGGTGTACTGGACCCTAGAATGGGCTTGGGCCCAAGGTGAGACGCTTTGTGGTGGGCTTGGGCCCGTATTAGGCGGGTTAATACTAGACCCAACACCTTTATATTCATGCCTACCATTGGTTGCCTATGATGAGTCTAGCTAGATAATTGATGATCGAGTTCGAGTGCTAGGTTGTTGACTTTGTTGGTTTTTGCTAAATTTGATGGATCAAAATAGATGTAAATTTAGATAAACAATGACCAAATAACCATTTCCTTACAAATTGTCGGAACCATATGATCATTTTAGAAAAAGAAAAAAAAAGAAAAAAATACACAGTCGCCATTTTGAAAATTTCACAAGCTATCCACAATCCACCACCAGATCTCATTTGTTGTGGATTATTAGAATGTCACCAAATTCTACTACTCATTACCAAACCCTTTAATTAGAAAAGAATATTCAACTGAATATTGGGTATTGATTGATATTTTTTTTTTAACCAACTAAACAGGACCAAGTCGGCCTTGCATCCAACTCTGCAGCATCTCCAGGGCCACCTTGGGCTGGTCCATTGGAACCATGTGGGCCGCATTGTGAACCTTCAAGAAATGGAGAGGCCCATACCCTTTCAGCTCCCCTGCCTTTGTGCAATTGCAATTCCCACCATAAAAGGCACCGTGGAAGCTCCTT